GTTCTAGTAGCTTCTGGGTCCTGACTGATCTTTCTGGCCTCATAGAGGAGTAAGAGGATGGTTCCCTGAAGTCACACACCAATGTTTCAGTGTTTCCTTAGCTTGTGATGTTGCTACTCCATTTCAAAGCTGCACCTCACATCACACTGTAGAGATGGTTTCTAGATAAGCCCAGTGCCTTTGAGGTATGTCCATGGAGATGCTCCATTCATAATGAGAAGGGTAAAGGGCAGAACCTAACCCTGTCCCCAGATGGGGCATAGGGCCTAGGGAACATCAGAGCCATCAGAGTCATCCTTGCTGTATGAATAAACAAGCGATTCACTCTGCTCAATACTGGTTCCTTAAGAGATGCCAAGTATATGCCAAGACTTAGCGTTTTCTTTCACAGCTCCCAGGGCAGATCAGAGCCCTGGAATGCCCAGAAAGTGCTAACCTTTTCTCATTCATGCATCGATCTCTTGACTGTTAATGAGGCTCATGCAGAGATCTATACCTTTAGGTAACGATTTCTCTCTTGAACAGGAGCAATTCATCGCTCTGTAAGATCATCCTTTGTTTCTCTTCCATGTAGTTACGATTTTATCTCCTTGTTCACAACTCCTGCAGATGTCTTTCTTACTAATAGGGTTGCTACTTCAGAAGCTAGTGGCTTCTTTTGAGAAAATTTGATATGTATCAAGGTGTCATGAGATACAGCTCTAGCTCTGCTGGCCCATGGCCAGCTTGTTCCCTGCATGCACCAAGTCCAAATTTCAATGCCAGTCCCCAATTTGCAGATCAGAAACTGGGCAGTGTGGCTCCATCTCTTGAGCTAAAAGAGCTTCTCTATGGACTTGCTTCACCTTGGAGGGCTCTTAATTTTCTATGTGACTCAGTTCTAAGAAATGAGGGGAGCATCTCCACACCCATGGATGGCTACATGTGAGAGGTCAGCCCCAAGATCAGGAGATAGGAAAAAAATTGTTTTTATTGTAGTTCTCTGGGTGACACCATAGTATATCTTCGAAAGGGAAAGAGTTCCTTTGAGCTCTTGGTATCATCCCACTTTCTCTCCAGTTTGTAAAATGAATATTTTTAGTACTTGTTTCCCCATCTCACAAACGTGTTGTGAGGCTTAATTAGTCAACATCTAATGATGGAAAGAGCTAGTTTGAGTCTGCACGCTGCAGCAAAGCAGCTTGTGGTGATGACACTACAACATTTTCAGGCCCTGCATCACAAAGGGCAAAAAAAAACTATTTTACACAACACATTAAAAACCCATCCATGATTGCCAAGGGGGAAATATTTTCTCTTGAGTGAGATGGTGGGGAGAAAAAAACCTTTTGCACAGTTTTGACGTTCTACTGCCATATGATGCCTGAAAATACAGTATCTCTTTCAAAAGCCTTTCTGAAGTTCTGGTGGAAGCCTGCCCAAAGCCTGGAAAGGGAGTAGGACCCTGGACTCCAAGGAGAGTCTGCCAGTGAGTCCCGTAGGGTTAGGACCAAACCTTTAGAGTAGGACATCCCCATCAACCCAGTCCTTGGGGAAGTCAAACGATCCCCTTCGTTGACTTCAGTGATCTTTGCGTGGGAATGACCCCATCCACTTAGGGTAGCTTTATCTGTTTGTTTCTTCAGCTGCTGCGAGGGGAGCCGGAGCCCTGGCTTTGAAGTCGTCGCACTGGCAGCCTATCGCAGTGGTATTTTGTGTGTTTTGAAACCTATGACTGTTCTTAAACACAAGTTTTGGGTTTTTTTTCATTTGTAGAGGAAGGACAAGAGTAATCTGTGGCAAACTGTACAGTACGTGTCTTCTTGTGGTGTCACTGAATGGTTGTTAAGTTTTCAAATCACTGTGGACAGCTAATCACTTAAGTTATTAATTTATTCTTTTGGGGGGTTGTTTTTTTTTTTTTTTAAGTAATTTGAAACAATTATTTATCCTGTAAATCAGTCTTGAGTGAAACCTAGATAATACCTTTTTTGCTGTTAATAAACATGGTACCTGCCTGACGTGAAGGTGATCTCGTTTTTAAGTACTGTATATGCAGCAGAAAAGCAATGGGAAAATAAAAGGATAATAATAATAAAAAAAGACCTCTCTCACTGCTGACTCCAAAGATTGATTCAGGGGGGAGAAAAGGGCTAATAATTTATGGCCAGCACTTCCCATGCCCTGCATTTTTCTTTTTGTGTGTGTGTGTGTGCTTTTCTTTTCAATGCATCCATCCCTCCTTAAATGACCTCAGAACAAGTCCCACTATGTGGGTGAAGATACAATGGCCATGGACACCAGGTAAACTCTTTCTCTAATCCAACCAGATCCTTCTACCCAGAAGAGTGAGGCAAGGATGAGCTGGTGGCAACATTTACCAGAGCACTGTTTTCTTTTGGCGCTGGATGCACTTTGAACATGTTGCCACAGTATAATTATCTTGCATGTACTTCTGCAGCTCAGAACCAGCATGAGAACCTACACAGCCCATTACAGTGGTGGTGGACGTCTCAAAGAAGCCAGGAAGATTTCTTGGCCCCTGGAGCATAACAGAGGAAAGAAGGTGCATTGGGAATGTCAGCTATTGCAAGCAAAACGTGCAGATGTCTCTTTTTGCCCAACAGGAGAAGGGGGAATGAACCCAGAGTTTGCCCTGCATAGTCTCAGCCCTCGGCACCATCCAGTGTCACATCTAGGGTGATGGAGTGGGGGCAAAATGATAGACCAAGCCTAACCCTAAAATCTTTCCAGACTGACTTCTTAAAGACTGTTTTTCCAAACTTTTTGAAATTGCCTCTGCTTTCAAAGGAGGGATTTCCCGGTGTTTGTTTACTGTGGATCTGGATCCCATGGGGAGCTGGCAGGGCTCATTCCTAAGAGGCAACCCTATTTGAGAGGCTTCATGGTATAAGCATGGATGTTCCACGCTAGTTAGCCCCAATGCCAGCAAATGGTCCGGGATATGTTTGATTCCCAGCTGTAGATGATGCCAACCAAATAAAAGCATGAGGGGATGTTAGAAGCATCAAAGTAGTAGTGAGAGAAATAGGCTATTTATACAAGAAGAGCTGATCACTGAAGTAATGTCTGGGTTGTACCCCCCCATGCAGTAAGTGCAGGCAGCAGTGTAGGACTATATTATATATAATTATTATATATATATATAGTTATATATAATTATATATTTTATATATATAGATTATATATCTATATAATCTATAGATATAGATAATATATCTATATATGTGTGAGTCTATTATATGTGATATCTGTTTTATATATCTATATTTCACAAGTCACACTCCTAGCCAAAAAATCAGAAGAGTTCTGTAACAAAAGGGTTTCAATCAAGCTTTTTTAAAAATATTGGCAGCTGATAACATACACAAAGTGGAAAGGGCGACCCTTTATCATACAAGGCCTTCAGCGGTCATGAAGTAGGGTGCAGGTCCACCCTGCTGCTTAACATGCAGTTCTTTTCTTGGTTCAACATCAAGTTTAGGAGAAATGAGAAGTCTGCTTTACAGACACTTAGGAAGCATTCACCCAGCTACACATGGCTCTGTCTTTAGGCAAATGTGAGGCCCTGAAACACAAGAATTCAGTGTGCAAGTTACATGAACATATATATTAATAATATTGCCATATTATTTTATTATAATAATGCAATACTTTAGTATCATACTAATACATAGTATATTAATAGAATTACTAATGTCATAGTTTATTGATATTCTTGTTGGTATTAATAATGGTATAATTAATGTAGTGTATGAATATTAATGCTAATTGTAATGCATTTAAAATATTTAGTAAATTATTAATTATATCATATTTTTAATATCTATATATATACATGTAGCAATTATTTGATGAAGAAAAAATTGGAGCAGCTGTAGATAATACTATGAAAACACAGGCTCAGGACCCAATTCCAAAGGGAAATCCAGTGCTAAAAATCATAGGAAATGAACAGAACCCCAAACAGACAACCTCATTATGCCGTTGAAAATACCCAGGCTGTAATCCCACATTGAATACCACTTGTGGTTTGGGTCAGCTCATCTCCAAAAAATCATAATGAAGAACAGGAAGAGATATATTTGGGGAAGAGCTTATCAACACCAACAGCTTCTCTGCGAGATAATGAACTGGGCCCTTTGGCATGGCAAAGAGACCATAACAGCAGAATTTGCAATCCCAAATGGCATGGAGAAAACAGAGAGGGACCAATTATCCTCCTCTTCCTAGGAAACAAGCTTCAGGGAATAGTTAATAAGCGCAGACTCCATTATCCCATGTTGTCCTACTTATTTAGGCCAAGTTTCCCTGTACTTTGATTATATGCCTTGATTATCTAGATTAGTAGCCAATCAAGGCAGAAGGAGTCTCCCACAGATTTAATGTACAGCACCAAACAGAGCTGGGACCAGGTCTCATTAAATGCCTTCAGGTGACACCCTGTTGTAAAGGAGGAAGTCAGCGTGACCTTCAGGAATAAGAAAGCTTTAGGAAACCTCTTTGGACAGGAGATTTTTAAAAGATTATTTTTAATAGCTCAAAATACTGTACTTGTATAATTTCAGCTTTGGATCTATATTTATTTCCCATTAGCACTATTTCAAATCTAGTTTAATTCCAGCAAATACAATAGATACGGTCCATTATCATATACATAATCATTTTAATGCATTTACAATCTGCCAGTGTAACTTGGATTTGAATTTAATGATGTCTCATTCATAACTAATTTAGCTTAAATATAATTCTTCAGCTTTGAAGGTTCTTTATTTGTTTTACATTTAATATGCACATGTACAAAATAGAAGACTAGATCCTCAGATTTATTCTTCCTTGGATCCTTGGGTTTATTTTTCCTCCCCTTTCATCTCAGTGATAAGCAACAACCTGGAGACCCACCAAAGCAGGATAGCCAACAGTGGAGACCATCCACAACCAAAAGGTCACAGAAATGTCCAAAGCTATTTTTTAAAGCTACCAGTATGGGGCACTATGCATGCTGTAAAACTCCATGTTGAATTGATTCATCATGTCCTTTATTCATATGTAGGAAAGACAATAAAAGAATATTATAGCATATGCCAGAGATCAGATCGCAAGCCAGAAAATGTCATCTCTAGTAGAACTTCCATTTGCATCAACGGTAGCAATTTCTGTGCTTTGCCTTTCACTGCATGTCAGTGCAATATTCCCCCCATCCCATCAGGATTAGGCCCTGAATACAGGACCTAAGGCACAAGTTTCTGGTGCTTGAGCTAGAGAAGTCTACAACAGGCATGAGTGAGGAGCAGACGTGGACAACACGATTGGAGAGAGCTACATTCATACACACACGCAACCCAGGGGTAAGGTCAGCCTCCCACCATCAAAATCAGGCTACGCCCTTCAAAACCAAACTTTTTGGTTTATATAATGCATTGGTTTATATATTATGTATTATATTTGTTTATATAATATAACCAGTTTGGCTTACTGTCCTTGCAAACACACATTTTAGAAAACAGCCAGTGGTTTTGGCAAGGGGTCTCCATTTATCAGTGCTCAACCCACAGTATTCCAAAAGAAAGTCCAATTTATGAACGGCACATCTGGCCCAGAAACCCAGGAACTGAGAGCAGCAGAAAGTTGTTGAGTCCCAAGCACATTCCTGAACAAAGGCCTGTGTGTCTGGGCCACCGTGCACACTAATAACACCCAAGTGCCAAGCGAGGTCACTGTAGGAAATGAGTAATACAAAGGGGGCTTGATGAAGCACAAAAACCCCAAGGAGACCAGAATGAGTCTCTTCCAGCTTTAGGGGTTCAGCCTCTTGGCAGAGGTTGGCAGTGCTGGGGGTTTTTTTAAGAAAACACAGCTACTTTACATTATCTCCACCTCGCTTCTCAAAAAAAGCATTAAAAAAATACACAACCAAGCAGAGGCACCCCAAAAACGAGTTGGTGCTGTAGGAAAGCCCGGGCTGCGGATGGGACGTGCAAGGAAGGTCTCAAGACCTGGAGCTCCACGGGCTCTACCCCGTCCTCAGCCAGGCTGGTGGCATGGTTCACAGCAGCAAGACAAGGCTATGCTTAAGCAAAAGGGCACTTCTCTGAGCTGTCATCAGCTGCTCATATCCGTAGATGTTTAGCTACTAGTATTACTTTAAGGCGTTAAGATCAAGTGCATAGAAAGCAGTAGAAGTCAGAATTTGGCTCCGTCCAGTCTCTGAATCAGCCATGGAGTCCTTTTCTTTGTAAGATTCAAGGCCAAATCCTTTCTCTGTGATGTTTGCTGTCATTGGTGTCAGAAATAGGAGCCTCTGGCTTCAGGTCAGCCCAGCTGGCTGGGATAAACGTTTGCTTTAACCTGATCCCTAGAAGACGAGTCCATGAAAGGAGCCGGATCCTCCTCCTCCAGCAGCGGGGCTGCAGCCCCCCGATGAGCTGTCGTCATCCTTGTCCCTGTCAAAGTCTCTCCACCACAGAGGGGATTTGGGCAAGGCAGAAATGTACGCAGCTCTGTTCCTTGCTTCTTTTTCCTGCTCCTGGGTGAAGGAATGGGGAGAAATAAAGCCAAGACATTGACGTTACATGCAGCTAAATGGCACACAGATTTGCTCCAACCTCCCAGCCCTCCCAGTGAGAGAAGCTAGGAGCCAGTTTATTGATCAGCAGGAGCCTGCGACAAATTGGGGTTATCAGACCCTAGTGCCTCAGATCAGACCCTGGTGAGAAACTCAGGAAGGTTAGAGGCAGATCAGAGAGGTCAAGGGTAACTTTCACCAGGAGATCTGGGGCATAAGCTGGGGCAGTTCAGCATTAAGGGATAAATCACAGAGGAATACTTCATCTACAGATCCACTTGTGAAAGTCAATGTGGTCCTCAAACCTTGCTTAAAGTGGGAGGAGAACTGCTAGTGATAAATGATGGCCAGAGTTTGGATTCATAAACTAGAATGCATGGCTGCAGAATCCCTGGAGACACAGAGGTTTGGGGGTCATTGCCCAGCATAGATTACTAACATCTAACTGAGATGAAGCATGAGCTTTCCTCCAATGGCTGAGTGCTCATCTCTTGAGGACTCAAGCTTGAGCTTGATGCTCAAGCATGACATGCCACAGAAGCAGAGGAGATAGAGGAGCAGGGGGACACATCAAAACAGTCCACAGTAAATGACCAAACATCAGACCTCTACCTTTAGCAACCTCTGGGAGAGAAAGAAACTCCTCACATTCCCTCCCATCTGCCTTTCCTTCAGATGATTCACTTTGTATAGCATACTTTTGCTGTTTGGAAATCTTTAAACTCAGTCTATTAATGTAACTTTTCCTGTATTTTATACCCAGCTCACCCATCTTTTCTAGATATCAAGTAGAAAATTGATGCAGATCTTTGGTCAGCTTAAATGAACTCAACCCTCCATCTGAAGACATGCTTGGGAAGCATTAAAAAATATGTTTCTGTTAGTCAAGATCAAGCAGCTGCTTATCAATCGCTCAACACAGGCATAAAGAAAAGTCAGGCCTAACCTTGGAGAAAGTCAGCAGAGATATCATTATACTGCTCAGGAAGCTACCAGCTGATCAGACTAGGCAACAGGAACAAATCTATGTAGGGATCACACTTCCCTGTGAAGCACATCATCCTTAGGCAATGCATGTGGGGTTGATAGTAATGTGGGGTTGAACGTATGGTTAAAAAATCAAAATTCCCTCCTGCTCCAACTTGGCAGCCTCAGACAGGGAGCCACAGCTTACGTGATGAAGGAGTTGGGGAGAAATGGAACTACCGGAGATTCCAGCAGAAAGCTACAAAGATGATTAGGTGACTGGAGCATATTGCCTGTGAGGAAAGACTGTGAGAGCTGGGTCTGCTTAGCCTGGAGAAGAGCAGGTTGAGGGAGGATCTTAAGGGAGGATGTCAAGAGGATGGGGCCGACTATTTTCATGGATCGGCAGAGACGGGGACAAGAGGCAACAGACAAAGACTGAAACACAGTCAGTTCTGCCTGAATATGAGGAAAAACTTCTTGACTGTGAGGGTGACAGAGTACTGGAACAGGCTGCCCAAAGAGGTTGTAGAGTCTCCTTCTCTAGAGATACTCAAAACCTACGTGGATATGACCCTGTGCAACGTGCTCTGGGTGAGCTTGTGCGGAGAGGTTGGACTGGACACTCTCCACAGGTCCTTTCCAACCTCAGCCCATGTGGGGTCTGTGATTCTGTGTGGGAAAGACATCACTTAGCCATAAACATAGCCATAGAAGCCGTATACAGAGTACAGTACTTAACATAGCCCTGAGTTAACTTGCGTATCTGCACATACAGACTTATCCTCAGAAACAGATCCTGATGCCACCAAGATCAGTGGAAACAGTTCATTTCACGAGCAGCAGGAACACATCCTTCTACCACAGCTCAAATGGCAAAGGGAGTTACCTGCAGGTAGAGGAGGTTATCTTTGGAAATGGCTTCCATCAAGTCCTTATTGAGGGAAGGTTCTCCATGGGGGCGGCTGCTCTCAGCCCCAGCCTTGTGCATGGGGCAGCTCTGCCTGCCCGGCCGCTGCCTGTAGAAGAGCACGTAGGCCGTGTCTTTGGGGAAGAAAGAGGTCACGTTGCTGACCGATTCGAAGGAGGAGAAGGAAACCCTGGTGTCGTTGAAGAGGTACCACTGGATTTCAAAGTCCAACTGCTTGTCAGATGTTGGTTTCAGGGTCCCATCCCGAGGCTGCCCATGGGTGACGGTGTCACTGCACTCTCTGGAGTAACAATAGTAGTGGCCACTCTCAGATGAGATCCCTGAGTGCACCACCACACTGCAAAGGTCATAGATGATGGACACAAAACTGCTGCTCGGTGCAGCTCTGTCCTTCCTGCGTTGCCAAACATCCTCGCTGTCTTCTGGGGCAACAAGAACAGGCAGCTTCAGCACCAAAGGAATGGAGACATTATCCAAGATCTTCTTCCTCCTCATGGTCCTTGGGTCAAAGGAAAATCGCAGCAGGGTGAGGATGAGGTAATGTGGCCCCTCCGTCAGCTCGGCCACTTTCTCAGCATCCTGCAAAGAAGCACATTTCTCACAATGGTATTTATTCTCTGCTGTCAGTTTTTCTGGGGACAGGAAATAATTGATCAAATCTGGTACAGATCTGGAGTCCTTGGGACTGCAGGTCTGCTCCCCAAAAGCCAAGAGAGGGTCCTTGGTTGAATCCATGCCAACAGCATTGCTGTTTAAGGGAGTTGCCTGGTTTCCTGGCTCCTGGAAACCCAGTGTTTCCACCGGCACAATGTTGGCTGCACGGTCTCCAGACACATGAGGCTTCCTCCGGATCCAGGGAGATCCTGTTATCTGACTTGGGGTTCCAGGAGGTTCAATAAACTGTGGGCCAATTTCTTCCACTGGTAAAACAGGCGCGCTCCCTGTGCTAAGTACATGTCTGTCCGGTGGAGGGAAAGCCAGGGATAGGTCTGTGAAGGCTTCTTCTCGAGAGGAGACATTCAGACACTTCAGGCAGCGGATTTTTGTCATCATTTTGCCCCCAAACATCTTCTCAATTAATGTCTTGTTTAAATAATGTTGTTCCATGGCCTGAGACATAAAGCTGGATTCTTTGAGTTTTTGGTAGATCCTTTTTCCAGTTTTTTCTTCTTCATGTAATCTTTCACAGAGGAAAAGTGAGAGAGAGAGAGAGAGAGAGAGAGAGAGAGAGAGAGAGAGAGAGAGAGAGAGAGAGAGAGAGAGAGAGAGAGAGAGAGAGAGAGAGAGAG